ATTTTGGAGGGGAATTTAGATTTTTTAAGTAACTAGTTTTAATTTTAAACATTAATTACTATTTTGAAAGGGAGTAGAAGCAAGATACATTAAGAATTTAGTTTTGAAAACGATTATGCTTAAATTTCATATTGTATTCGTATTTGAAAAGAAAAAAAACTTAAACTAAATAAAAATTAGCAGAGACAGACATGACTTACGGTCAACATTAGTCGTGTTGAGTATTTGTTTTACGAATTTAAACAATGAATTTTATTTTTTAAAGATTGAATAAAAAATATTTTCCATAAGATGGCCGAAAAATATTAATGAATCAATAATACACAGACACACACACATACAACTGCCCTTTAGAATGGTACTGATACTGTATATTTATTTTCTAATCGGACACACACACGCGACTTGACCCTATATTTCCTTGATGGGATAAAAGCGTCGATTCCAGCTTTAACCCAGGATGAGACCTCGGAAGCACATTCTTGGACGGGGAGCGTAAAGACTCCATCCCAGGTGACATCGCGTCCCAGTCAGCTCGTTGATAGTAGAACGAAGTTCTAGTGGTAGGTGGTTCTTTATAGGGGGTGGAGTTGAAGGAGACCGTCCTCCATAGTTTCCTTAGCTTTTAATAACGTCGATAGATTTTCGAATTTAAATTTAAACGTATACCGTTATTCTATTTCGTTTTCAACAATATATTTTCTATTTACATCGTTCAGACTGTTGTCCTCATCTTTATTGCCATATTCACGTTTCGTCTGTTGTACGCTCCTGCCTTTATCAGGCGATAAGAGTTGGAATTTTCGAACCGAACCCTTTATTTAATCCATGGGAAGTAGATCGTTCTAATTCCACGTGCCATGCCATTTTTTTTAATATCCCAGTTTTAGTTAAATTACTTTAGTAACTCAACTCTCTCATTTGTTGTTCCCTCTGTTGTGGCCATTAATTAAGCTTGCAATGTGTTGGTTGAAGTAATCCAAAAAGTAACTTGACCTAAAGAGTCATAAGATAGATAGATAGATAGATAGATAGATAGAGTAAACGACGAAACTATTCATACACCCATCAATTTTGAATGTTTTTATCCATTTCTCAGAATCTAATGCACGTATGATGCCAGGTTTTTTATATGTTAATAAGCACGAAAGAATGAATATAAAACTCAATTTTGAGAACAATAGATTAAATACAACAAATTTGAGAGGCGAATTATGCAAAACATGAAAAGACAAAATTATCCGTACAGCGTGAAAAAGAGAAAAAATGTCCAATTTTCATAATATTAATAGTCAATAGCATGGTCCCTCATCCTTATAACTTGCTGAAATCGTTTTCTAAAGTTTTTGATAATATTCGAACAAGTCTTTTCATGTATTTTCCATTCTTCAACGGTTACGCCTTCTTATTCCTGAAGAGTTTTCGGTGACCGACGATTTATTCTAACTTCTTGCCATAGATTTTCAATAGGATTCAAGTCAGGACTCATTGAAGGCTATGGTAGAACTGTAATCTTCTTTTTCTAAACCCAGGCAATCACTGATTTAGACATATGTTTGGGATCATTATCTTGCTGGAAAGTAAATCGACGATCTAGATGAAAATTTTGCACTGATAATTGTAGATTTTCATTATGATATAGTCTGCAGATTTCATTATTCCTCTTATTGCAATTAATTGTCCAGTCCTCACTTGAGCTAAAACAACCCCAAAACCTCATTGAACCGCCTCCGTGTTTTAATGTTGTCACCATGTTCTTTTGGAGGAAAGCCTCACCTTTCTTGTGCCAAATCTTCTGTACACCGTTATGTCCAAAAAGCTCAATTTTTGTCTCATCACTCCATAGTTCTTGTTCCTAAACGCAATTTTCTTTGTCTAAGAAATTAAACCGAGCAACAATGTGATATGGTTTTTGAAAAGGGACTCGTCGTAGTCGGTTTCCGTAACACCTATTTCTATTTAAACAATGTTGTACTGTGCGAGTACTTACCCTGATAGCCATCGTATCCAAACTTTTGGCGATATCTTTCAAAACAACTCTTGGGCTTAATATAAGCCTCGCGGCGCAGTTTTCTTTCAGTTCTCGATGACAATTTGATGTTTTCTTCCACGTCCAAGCAAATTCTCTGTCATGTCAAACTGTTTAAACTTCTGTATAACGGACTGTACCGTAGATCTAGGGATAGCTAACCGGTTTCAATTAGTTCTGTAACTATTTCCCGACTTGTGGAAGTTAATAATTCTCTGTCTCAAGTTAACGCTAAGCTCTTTTGTCTTTCCCATCATGTTGTTAACGTAAGAATAAGAATGGTGACATTCTATTCATCACATGATGTTCTTTCCTGGAATTATCACAAATATTCTACTGAATAAATAGTTTAGAAGGCTTCATCGATAAAATAATTATGTAAATTACTTATACTTACACGAATCAATCAGTTTAAAACAATGTTTTCTATTGTACGAATAATTTTGTCTTTTCCTATTTTGCTTAATTCGCCTGTCAAATTTGGTATATTTAACCTATTGTTCTAAAAATTGAGTTTTATATTCCTTTTTTATGCTTAATAAGATATAAAAACCTGGCATCATACGGGCATTGGATTCTGAGAAAGGGATAAAGTATTCAAAATTGATGGGTGTATGAATAATTTCTTCGCTATATATATATATATATATATATATATATATATATATATATATATATATATATATAGAGAGAGAGAGAGAGAGAGAGAGAAAAGAAAGAAAGAGATAGAGGAGATCCAAAAACGTGGAATTTGAAACCAATTTTTTTGAAGAGTCCTCGAAGTTAAGGGGGATTTATTATCTCAAATATTTTGACAGGAACAATTTCTGAAAAACGCTTTCAGTAAACGAACAAGAACGAATGTTTCATTTAAGTTATTTATCATTTTCTGTTGTTTTTTTTTTTGTTGTTTTTTTTCACTTGATTTAATGCCGTGTCCCTGTAATAAAATTATTCTATTAATTTTAACCTAAAATGATAATGATGGTGGTTTCCATGTTTTTCCTCACTATCGCTCAGAAGCAATGCATCAACTTGCTGTATTTTTTTCTTTTTCTCTGATCGGATTAAAAGCGACGAAACTGTTGCGAATAAAAGCAGTTAACGTTACATGCTCACATGTCGGAACAATGAGTACGATTTAGTTAGGTTTGATCCTACTCAACTTTGACAACGACATATATATATATATATATATATATATATATATATATATATATATATATATATATAAATCATAAAAAAACTTAATGATCCATTTCGGTTATAATTTATTTTGAGAATATTGTTTTATTCATCTCTTCAGGCCGAAGGTTCTTAAGATTAAGGTTTTTTCTTGATTTATTATTATTATAATGCTTCATATTTTACATCGAGCTGTCTTTGGGTTAATATCCTACTTGGAATTATCCCTACCTGTCAGAAATTGGTATTATATATATAAATATATATATATATATATATATATGCTGGTAATTTTTTATTTATTTATTTTTTTTACCAGCCGAATTAATTTTGAGTCTTTGTCTTTCCATCACTTTGTAAGTAAGAATTCCACACTGTGATATTAAAAGATTTGCCAGGAATTATGAAATGGCACACACACACACACACACACACACACACACACACACACACACACACACACACACACACACACATATATATATATATATATATATATATATATATATATATATATTTATTTATTTTGTATCTGAGATTTTAGGTACTGGATGTTTTTCACCCTGTTCGGAGGTTTCTGGTGCTTTCTATTTTTCCATTTTTCCACGGATGCTAATTTAAAAAAAAAAAAATTGTACCATCCAGGTTTTTTCACCCACCGAGTTTAAATAGATTTACATTAATATATATATATATATATATATATATATATATATATATATATATATATATATATATATATATATATATATATATATTGCAGCGAGTGTTGGTGGTAATAAAATAGAGCTCGCTGTAAAATAAGACTTCAAATTTATACTAATAATAACTATATATTTGTTTGGTATCAAACGGTGAACAACAAATGTATATTTATCATTAGTGTATATACGGGCTGGGCTGAAATGTTCAGATGCTGACGATGAAAACTTGAATGCATTAATTTCACTTCTTATTAATAACTGCATTGTTTCTTTCCAGATAAACTGACGTCAGAATGTTGAAAGAAGATTTCAATTCTAACTTGTACCGACTACTCGTGAAAATGTACAAAATTTAGTATTGTGGTGTTACCAAGTGCCTGAAAAAAGGTTTTATGCTACATGTTCCAGCCTTTCCAACCTTGATAGAATTCAGGAGCTTCTTCGGGGCTTGTAGGTGATGAATTATTTTCCACTATAGAACCCCATAGACGAAACATCGCAAGCCTCTCACTAGTCTATCGCTATTTCCGTGGTAAATGTTTTCCCAAGCTATATTCCTTAGTTACACTAGTTCAGACATTCACAGCTAAAATCAGTCATGCCACTTACACTGGAACGACTCGTCCTTATTTCCTTCCATCAGTAAAAATGGAAGTTCCACACAAACAGCTTCTTCCCAAGAATTGCTACTTTGTTTATTTTAGCAATTTTTATTTTTATTTAATTGAAGGCCAACTGAGTTCTCAAAGTAAAGTTTCGTCCATATTAATTATTTAGCGGTCGTTAGATTTAAAAAGCATTGTGGATGTTAAAAATATTACAATGAAAGTAACTTATCAAAATTGTCAAGAAAAATGCTTAATCGAAGAGATTCAGACAACATTATTTTCTTGTGTGTGTGTGCGTTGAGTATTATCAAAAGTTATCGGTAGAAAGCTTTTTTGAGTAGAAGATAATAGAAAAATATGCCATTTGCGTAAACAGGTGTCCTGGAGGCACTTGTCCAAAAGGATTAGCTTTTATGGAACTTCCATAAGTTTAGCTTTGCTGATTTAATTCATATATCCTCTTATAGGCTGAATCTAGATGATGCAAAAGCAAAAATAAGAAAAAATATGAGAAAGAGAGAACGGAGTGGAGATAGATAGATAGATAGATAGATAGATAGATAGATAGATAGATAGATAAAACTCTGATATGAGTGGAGTGGTATTGATACATATTAACAAACTGAAATAGCTTTTAACCAGTGAGAAAGAAAGAAAGAAAGAAAGAAAGAAAGAAAGAAAGAGACTGAGATATTTAAAACGCAGATATGAAAAGACTGGTATTGATATACATGAACAAACAGAAATGTATAGTCATCAGATAGAAAGAAAGAAAAAAAGAAAGAGATAGACAGACAGACAGACAGATAGATAGATAGATAGATAGATAGATAGATAGATAGATATGAACAGAGTGGTATTGATATATATGAGAAAACTGAAATAGTTAATAATCAACGGGAAAGAAAGAAAGAAAAAAAGAAAGAAAATGAAAGAAAGAAAGAAAGAAAAAAAAAGAAAGAAAGAAAGAAAAAGAAAGAAAGACAGACAGACAGATAACGACTAAGAGAGAGAGATATGAAATTTTATAGAGCAGTGTAAAATCAATCGGTCAATATACAGACAGGCATTGTATATAAAACAGTAGGATACGAGTTAGACAGATCTTACAAACTGTTAGGAGCCTGACAAGAATCTCAATCAATGATTTGTTTTTTGTTGCACTCATTTCGACTCGAACATCAACTGCTGGCAGCAGTGGCACAATCCTGGGGTGTAGAGCAAGGGAATGGAAAAATGGGAATGAAATGGCAAGAGACTGCAGTGAGGAATAAAACAGGAGTTTATAATTGTGGCATCGAACAATAAAAAAAACATATCAAGTGTGTTGATTGTTAAAACCATTCCACTCCCATTTTCATTCTTCTCTTACAACATATCGCTCGTTTTGAGGGGAAGATATTTCATGAGAAACTCCTATTCCTTCTTCGTTTTGAAAGAAAAACATTCCAAGCCTCAACATGTTATGGTTATGTGAAGGTCTTCCTAGACTGAAGTCATCGACCAGGGCAGAATGTTTTCCCGATGGCTACGATTTTATGACCAAAGCGAGCTTACTAGTTGTACGAAATTGGCTGTGGTTTGATCTGGTGAGGGATGATCTTCGACAGGTGTACTTGTCGAAAAATACTCTACGCCTAAATGAATACATATGAGCAGCTACCATATGACTTACACTTGGCTTGGGACTGATGATAATTATATATATGTACTTCTTTATGCATATGTAATTCAGGTTTATGGTTATGCACTCTACACTAAAAATGATAGATACAATCATTTTTTCGGTTAACTGATGTTCAGACACCTCTTTTCATCCGGAAAAAAATTATCACGTCTGTTTCAATAAATATTTAATTTATATTTGATAGCATAATAGAAGTAGATATGTTTCGTCTATGTGTCGTGTCCCATCAGCCCATGTATGATCATAGCTCTCCACAACGTCCTTAACGGTTCTTTTCTTTTTTTATTATGCTTTCCAATCTCTGTTGAGTCATCCATTTACACAAGACTCACTGTTTCACTCTGTCTCTTTTGTCTTCTGAATATGCTGCGAGTATCAAATTTTCAAAGCCCTTTTTCATTGTTATGCATCCCAGAAATTTCAATTGGCTCTTTCTGATTCTAAGTACAAGCGTCCTCTTTGTTTACATTTTTTTTTCTTGAACCTTCATCGTTGTTCAAATGCTCCGACAATGGTATTCTCATCATCCTTCTATAGGGACACATCTCTGTTACCTCAAAGAGCTCAAAGTTGACTAGGACGGAGATTGTGAAGGAGATTGTCCAGCATTTTTTACTATATGGTTTTATATTGATTGATATTATATCGCAGTTGAGCATTATTCTCTTTGTTTCGAAGAGATTTTTCGTTTTAATATATTTATCTTACGCGCTATTCCAATGCGTCATCGGATTTTTGTATTACATTTCCAATCGCAACAGCACATATTAGAGACAAATCCAATTACTGTATATAAAAAGCAAGCAAGCAGTACAACTGAACGTAAGAAATCACTTTTTTGTTTCCATTTTCTTTAAAACTTCGTCGCTGCTCGCATGTTGCTTGCATGGTATTCTCAGCATCCTTCTGTAGAACCACATTTTTGTTGCTTCAAGTCTCTTAATTTTTGAGGAGGCCTTTAGTTATAACAGAAAATATTACTGTATATAAAAAGTAAGCAAGCAGTACAACTGAACGTAAGAAATCACTTTTTCTTTATGTGTCGTGTCAACTCATGACGTAGGCGATCATGGCTCTCCACAATTTTCTGTCCTTTGTAGCTCCTTATAAATTTCGTCTTTTAGTTATTTCTCCTAAAACCTGTTTCGGCATCCATTTACTCAAGCTCATTATGTTATACGTTGTTTTTCTCTGTCCCTCTATCTGTCCCGTGGGTAACAAATTATGGGGAAGTCTGGCTTGTACCCTAGAAATTTCCAATGTCTCTACCTGATGTTAAGTATAAGTTTCGTATTTGTTTCCATTTTCTTTAAAACTTCGTCGCTGCTCGCATGTTGCTTGCATGGTATTCTCAGCATCCTTCTGTAGAACCACATTTTTGTTGCTTCAAGTCTCTTCTAAATTTTTGAGGAGATTGTCCAGCATTCACTGCCATATAGGAGAACAGCTTTCATATAACAATTCAGTACTCTTTTCTTTGTTTCTAACGAAGTTTTTCTGTTTCTTAATACTTTGCTTAGCTTTTGGAATACATCTTTGGCTATCCCAATACGCCTTCAGATTTCAGTGTTGCACTATCTGTCTTCTGTTAGAACACTACGCAGATATCTGAATTATTGAACTTGTTTAATCTCCGAATTTGTAATTTGCATGTTGGTCTCATCATTTTGCTATATATTCCATCTTCTTGTAGTTTATGTTATAGATGAATCAATTTGCATAGCAAACTATATAGAATTTTTTATATTTCCTATTCGTGACTATTCTATTTTTAAAGTTAACTATTCTCAAATTGAAAGTGACTATTCCATTTTTTAGAGTTACTGTTCTCAAATTGAAAGTGAAAAGGTATAGACACCACACAATTAACTTTATTACATTTGTCCCACCAGCCATTTATTTCAACTTGCTAAAATGGGTTGGTATCTCCAATTTGTAATTTGCATGTTAGGCTAAAAACCATGCATTACATCTTCTGGCAGTTGTTTTTTTAGTCTTTTCTTTTCCCTTTTCTTCACTTCTTTCTGTAGGCGTTGTTGTAGTTTTCTTTCAACCCTGTTTCATTTGCATATCTTATGTTGTTAAAATTGTAGCCACCAATAATGAATTCTTCCATTTCTCTTAGAATCACCTCACTCTATAGGTCCAATAAGTCCGGTGAGACAGACACATCCTTGTCTTATACAAGAATAGAAAGAGGTGGAAGTCCGATGAGAAAAATCAGCCCATTTATCAGACATGGTTCTTTGGCAGTTTTATATAATAGACACATTTTTTATTTTGGTCTTAATCATAGTGTTTCACAGATCCCGTTATTTCATTTTCCCCTGTTGTTTTGTTTGATTAATGATAGGATTGTGTTCAAGCATATTTATGTATAATGGATCAACTGCTACCGACGAATGTGGCCGTTACTTTGCTACGATAATTCTTTCTGAAGCATCAATAAGAATAAAAATAAGAAAAATGTAGTTTGAATAATTAATGTAACCGTAACTTCTGTCTATGCTAACAGTTTCTTCTATTGCACTCCTGGTGTGTGAAACGCATTTCCAGCTTCTTACTTCCTTGTCAACTTTGACCTTCAAAAATTTAAATGCAATATCAATCGTTATGTTTTATCTTCTTAATTCTATTCTTTTATTGTTCTCTCTGCTCAATAGAGTTTTTTTTCTCGTATTCACTAACACTCAGTAACTTCCTTGCATTTTACTGGTTTTATTGCCTTGCTTGGGGTGAAATGCTTATGGTGTCAGGTAGGTAGAAATGATTTTCTGATGTAAAAATATAGGTAAGCGTTGGGGATAAAATTAGCCTAAGAGAGGCCTCAACTTCACATATAAGATGCAAGTCGATTTTTTAGTCATTTTTTTTGAAAAGAAAGTTTGTCTTATATGCCGTAAAATATGTTAATCATATTTATTATTTGTTTAAGGATATAGCGTTTTAAATATATGAGATAATGGATAATTAACAGATAAGCAATTTATTATTATTACTAGCCTAGAAGCCGCCCTTCGGGAGGGATTTAGGCTAGCCCCTATTACCTTTAGAGTCCCATATACGTAAAAGTTATAAGAATTTAGAAATAATAAAATTATTTTATCTTTATTCGACATCTTAATTCGGTCTAATCTTTCTTCGTATGCGCAACCGATCTTCGTAGTTTGTTTACATTTATATAACGCAATATTTATTTTCTTTTAAAATCACCATTTTTTGCAATCTCTTCATGTAAAGTCACTCTTAAAAGAAATTACAGAACTTGAGTTAAGTAATATTTCGAATACGTCACAGTACGCGTGCTAGAAAAAGAAAAAAAGCACCATATGAGCAACGTACCGTGCCCCACTTAATTTTTAATTACGGTTTAATTTGATGATATCAATTGCAATTGCGACGAAAAGCGAAATTAAAGTTAAACCTTTAATAAAGATATCTGTCTATATTTCTGGGATGAGGTATTATGTACATTATTTACATTATTCGGACTATTGTCCACATCGTTGTCTCTATATTTATTACAATCTTTCGACTGTTGTACGCTCCGGCCTTCTTCAGGTGCTTGGAATGTCGAACTGAACCCTTTATTTCGCTCACTGGGGTAGACTGTTCTAGTTCCACGTGCCATGTTTAATCACTTTGTTCGATATTTATATTTAACTTTAAATGAGTTATTTATTTAATTTTTAATCATGTGTAACTACAGTAGTTGCTACCTGTTACTTCAGGTTATATATGATTCGCCAAGATCGAAAAAACGGACGGACGGACGGACGGACATGCACTGCGCTTTATTTATATAGTTTATTATTAGTATTATTGATAATAATAATAATAATAATAATAATAATAATAATAATAATAATAATGTTGCTGATATTATTGTTGTCGTTAATATTACTACATAGCCTCTGCTAGTCTGACAATATGGATAATTTGATACTACTCTGGAAAAACATGTGAGAAAAATCTGTTGTCTACGCGTATTAAAGAAGACATTAAAACTGAAAGGCTGGAAACTGTCAAGGTTGACTATGAAAGTAACAGCATTTTGTTGTTAGTATCTAGGCAGATAAGGGGAAATCGTTGACACATTTATTTACTCACTCAACGTCTCCAGTGCCTAAGATATCGTAACCTGCATGTGACAAGGCATTTTGTCACGATATCTGGCGAGTAAACACATCGAAAGGCGAAATGATTTACCGCTTATAAAGTGAATAATGATATACAGGTCTGGAATTCGACCACACGTGTATTTACGGCCGTATTATGTTCAAACACCGGTCGCCGATATTAAGCGATAAATGGGTGACTACTAGGGAATAGCAGGTGCTGCAAGCTTGGGTGTACGATTGATGTAATGGATAAGAGCTGAGATTTGGGATATGGAAATCGGAGAACCGTGTTCCAATTCCAGTCGGGTTCGTTATATTCAGTTACGCGAAAATACCTTTAGAAAGATATAAATCCACATATTCTCCCCCAGCTATAAGTTAATTAACAAGATTTATATTAGTAAATCACTATCATTCCCAGAAAATTCTTACAGTTTAAAAATATTGTCTGACTTCTCAGTAAAAGGTTACTGAGAATTCAGACAATATTTTTAATACTTAAGTATGTACATGCATTTGTGTATGTGTGCGCATGTGCACGCCTGTGTTACATAACAATCTTCAACCTGCAGTGAATTGTCTTGTCCGTTCGCCGATTCAAATCCTTTCGTTGATAGCTACAAGCATATTTACTGCCTGATTCCGACACCTTCCGACCGTTGATCTAATAAAGAACCACGGCGCACTGTCCAGCCTTCCTCTCAGTCTCACCACAATTTGCGGGCTATGCCAAAATTACCAGCACAAACACCCACTACTCTTCAGAGACGCGGGCGTTAATTTGAAACGCTCCGCTTCCTTTGTTGTTCGTAACAATGTCCACCCACATATTTCTGCTGGCATGGAAACTGACTATTGACTTCATGACATTGATTAAGCACCGTCTATTTATCTTCTGGGTTTTTTTATACATACGTATTTTATATTTTATTTCATATTCCCACAGAAACGGGTAGGCAGAGATACAAGCAAAGTGCAACGGTTAGAGAATCGGGAAGAGAAATCGGCGAGTAGAGTTCGAATTCTAGTCGAATTCGTTATATTCACTTTCTTGTAAATTACTTCGGAAATCTCTTCTTCTCTCAGCTATGGGTTAAATAGCAGAGCAGACTGGGATCTCTCACATTCGTTGGCAACTAGTTTTGGACAAGGAATACTTTGAATTCAAGCCTGCACCATTTTTCTGTTATAAATCTCATGTGTGGCTGCCTTTACACTTCATCACTATAATCAAATCCTATGTTTAGCTAGTCAGTCGGTTCGATTCTAAAACTGAAGTTTTAGGATCTAATACATCGAACATCTGCAGGAGAGTCCACTACTATAAATATATGTGTATGATTTGAAAATATGGTATTAATTCGACAAGAGGATCAAATAAGGAACAAGTAGAAAAACCTTTATAAATTTGACATGCTTTGTTAATTTAACTTCATAGCGAAACATGTTAAATTTGCAATGGTTTTTTTTTACTAACAAGTAGGAAAACCATTGCTTATGCTTACGACCACATCACGTTCAAACAGCGGTTCCCGTATGATCCCCGAAGTTAAGCAACATCAAACCTAGTCATGAAACGATCGGGAGTACCAGATGCTCTAGGCATAGATGTGCGGTAGGTGTAATGAATAATGGCTGTAAACTGTTATTCGGAGAGTCGAGTTCTAATTCCATTTGGGTACGTTATATTCACTTACAAATATCCTTGGGAAAGGCATGAACACCTCTTCTCATCCCAACTATCATTTAATTAGTAAAACGTTTATTCCTAAAACCATTATTCTCTAAAAATAAATAAATAAATAAAAATGCGTATAAAATATTTAGAGTTTGGCTTTAAATAACCCATAGAGGCTGACAGAGGCTAAATAAAAACTTCCAAGCAAACAAATATTTGTTCCTTATTTAATTATATGTTTGTATGTCTATGTACAGATTAAATAAATCCGTAGCCTGTGATGTTGCGAGTTGTGACATGAACATTTATCTGAAAATTTCAGACATTTTGAAGGTGGTTTTCATTTGTTTGAAATAACTGATATTTATGTGTGAAAATAAGAGTTTTTGAATAATAAAATGATATAAAACTCAAATTTGAGAAATAAAATGACCAAGAAAGTGTTGGCTGGAGATTCGAACCTGAAATTAAGTAAGGAGATTTACCAATATAATCCAGAAAGGATTATCTTCCAGCCCCTGCTTGTTCCTCCGGGATTTAGCCAGGTTGATGAATGGTTAGCACTTAATCTATAGGCCATGTGTTTCGTTATCTACAGAAAACTGGAAAAAAATGTTTAGGAAAGGTCGCCATCAACGTAGAAGGTCATAAAGAAATCCAAATCTGTTATTTTGGTTGGTTGTTCCCCAATATGGCTGAGAACGAAATAGAAATGATTTTAGGGAAAAGCTGATAAATGCTGACTGATTAAGGAAAATTACCGTCCCTTATCTGGTCCCGCTGTTTTTCGGGTAAGTGGAAAATAACCAGCTCTGTGCTGCGGGTCAGTGATTAATGACTATCGATTACAATATATTCAGAAACACTGGCCGGTTCAAACCAAATAACCATAAAAATATCGGCAAAAATGGACCTTCGTGTCTGCAAAAAAATAAATAAATAAATAAACGCAAACAAAAACGGAGTATCAAAACGAGACTTTTTTCCCCTTGACACCCGCTATTATATTAACTACCTTCAATCCTCGGTAATGTTGATTCTTTTAAAAGGCGATGATTAGAATTTTAATAAAACCTAAACAAATGATGAAAGTGAATTCTAGTCAGATATTGGAATGTGGTTACAGTAATCTGCCGATTTTTTTTATTATTACTGTCAACAGACTTTTTGTAAATCCACGAATCTGTTTCAGATCCCAGCATTTGTATCTAATCAACAACAAGAAAGACTTATTTCATAAATTCTTACGGAATTTCATGTAATTTTTTTTATCTGAGATTAACCAGCGTTTATATCTACTTTAGGCATTTAAGAGGCGTATTTTAGCATAATATAGTTTGTTCTTTTTGTGAAGTTAAACCTCACATAACTTCGAATAGTCTCCCATAGAGTATTTATGAATAGACTGAGATAGATAGATAGATAGATAGATAGATAGATAGATAGATAGATAGATAGATAGATAGATGTGAACAGACTGAAATAGATAGATAGATAGATAGATAGATAGATAGATAGATAGATAGATAGATAGATAGATAGACACGAGGGAATACCGAAAGTCATCGGCTTAAATTACTCCCTAAAATCTGACTAAATCACCAAACATTATTTTTTCTTAATTTCTCCTTAGTCGGGCCATGAACTTTTCATAGATAGATAGATAGATAGATAGATAGATAGATAGATATGAATGAGATAGATAAATAGATAGCTACTGAAGAGTATTAGATAGATATTGAACAGGCTGCGATAGATAGATAGATAGACAGACAGACAGACAGACAGACAGACACGAGGGAATACCGAAAAATCTTCGGCCTGAATTACTCCCTAAAATCTGACTAAATCACAAAGCATTATTTTTTCTCAATGTCTTCTTAGTCAGGCCATGAACTTTTCATAGATAGATAGATAGATAGATAGATAGAGAGAGAGAGAGAGAGAGAGAGAGAGAGAGAGAATAGAAAATTATCAGAGAAAAAAAATGAGAGTAAATAGAGAAAAAATAAACGGAAACTGAGGTTAAGAGGCCAAGAAAACTCCCTACCTAGCAATTGATGTCCGACCGAAGTGATATTTTTTGGAGACAGAAAATAACATTAGCATTTATGAATTTACCGTTTACCTTTTTCCCGGCAATGTCCCTAACATTGTTGGAAACTTGGCAGCTGATACGGCCAAATAGAATTAAAGATGACAAAAAGACAAAGTCTTTCTGATAGAAACCATTCAGATAATATGACTATTATCATTTTCCCCATCGAACAAAACCATTAATCTCTGTCAATGATAAGACAGTCGTTTTACAACAATTCAATAAATAAGTCAGAATATTAGACTGTCATAATACCTGGACTTGGTTTACAGTCACTATACAGTTGAGGTATCATTAGATTTACTGGTGGACTAGCAACCAACCAAACGCTTTTCTACATTTTTTACATTATTAATATTATTTTCCCTTATTTCGCATGGTATTAAATTATACTAGAGATCTTTCATGATTGGTTTTCTCCATTGAGTCATTTTAGCCTCATACAGAGAGAACGTTTCACAGAATCTTGGTTGTTCTTCATAATGCCGATTTCTGTAGGTTCGAGCATTGGACTTGATTCCAAACATTTCTAGTTGAAACTCCTGGAAATAGAGTTTAACGCACCAATAATTACGAGGACTATACTTGTATCTATATTCAACAAACGTGCCATGTCTCTGCAGTGTTCACTACAGGGTCGCTCAGTTGTTTGAGAACATTTGTGTTAATTTGGTAATACGCAAGTCATGAAAGAAGAGCTTTATTCGACAAACAATTGGCATAAATAATCTTGAGACTCTTTTTGTCGCATCCACAAAATGAATCTGCCATTACCATCGATGGCTGCTTGAATATGAAGTGTGAAACATTGACATGTTCGAATCAGATGATCTTTGTCTATTTTGGACATTGTACTAGTTATGTCGAACTCAGAGAATTTATAGTGAAATGAGGACGTTGATTGACTTCCCTCTCGACTACCCACCCAATACATCGAAATCCAACCGATTCAGGTCTAGAGAGCTGGGTGCTCCTATATTAGACGTCACGTGATCGTAGAGATTTTAACTTATTCATTCTAGAGATTTCTTGGTGGGGTGGGGGTAATTTTACCCCAAGCAAGGCGGGAATGCCCCTAGTACGCAAGGGGGATACAGGGCGTGAAAGTAAGAGAAAAGACTGAGTATCGGGAGGATTGAGGAAAGAACAAAATATGAACGGGATTCGAGAATATAGAAGATGACGATTGACATTGCATTTAAATTTTTGAAGATTGTATTTATCAGGGAAAAAAATAAAGGAAAGGGAGTTCCACAGGCGGGAAGTGTGAGAAAAGAAACTGTTGAAGAAGAAGTGGCAGTTGCATTTAGCTATTTTCAACAGTAAACGGGTGGGACCTAGATGCCAATCAAGTGGCACGTTTAAATTCATACAGTTGGTGCACCAGGGAAAAAAAGCACGTCGGAGCAGTTGCCATGAAAATATTTGTCACTTCAGCTCGCTGAAAAAGCGACTGAAGTCAAGATGCCTAATCAGGATCGATTACATTACAGATCTTTCTTTCTATTTTGTCAAGAACCTCGAGATGAATAGCAAGAGGAACAGACCAGATATGGCGACAATAATCGATGCACAATAAATTTGTAAATGTGCAAGATGGACTCTGACGAAAAAAAAATTTCTGACACGACACAGTGACCCAACTTTGGCCTTATAAGACCGCACATAATCTTATTGGTGGGTATACGGTTTTCCTTTGCTCACACTCTCTATCCAAGACTTCAAACCTCTCGCCAGCCTTTCCTTATAATCAGCAACAGTGTCCCTTAACGGAAGAAGTGAATGGGGATAACATCTATCTCGTTGCTCAGGAACCCCATAACTATCACAACTGCCGGAAACTTTGTGCGCATGACCGTTGGAACGTCCTTAGGATCTCTGCATAATAATATGGCAGTCCTTCGTTAGACGTTTTTGTCTAGATCAAAGTTTTTTCTCATCAGAGATAAAACAAACCCTTCTAGGCTCTTTGCGCAAATCAAACGATTATCTTTTGTTTTTACAAACTTGAATTGGCCTCTCCGCATCACATATGATTTGTATCTGATATGTCCCGGAAAGGGATATATTTAATCGAAGTAGCTAAGTGGTTTTGGCTACTATAACCAAGTAGAATATGGTAGCAGTAATCGACTGGTACGCGTCGTAGTCGCAGGTAAGAAGTATAGATCAATGGCGTAGTCCAATGGGCGTCGTTATAGACTTAGCTCTCAGAATAAGGCTCTCTTTGATTCTCCTACACGTCCGTCGGTATTTATGATGGACACAAACCAATGTTATTCCAGTGAGGGGGTACACAGGTGTACGCATATTCCATTATAGCAGTATCAAAGATCCTCATGCACAACTTTTCAGATAGACTGTCTTGAAACTTTGAGTTACTTAGGTAATGACGTTGACTTCATAGATTTTTTATCGATAATTTTCTGCATCTTTCTTACAAATTTGGGGGTTCGGTTGGCATTAGAACCCTTAGAAAGCGTCTTACGTTTGACTACCTCTGTAAAAATCCCCGTCGGCGTCTTCCAGCTCTTTGCGAAATTTGACAAGAAAAGACCGTGCAACTTTGAAGGAAAGAGAAAACTCTAAATCCCTATATTCGTGCCTTTAAGGCAAAGATTACATCGTGTCTTTTCATTTGCTGATTTAGCTTTGAGATTTGTGATCATTTATCTGAAAAGAAAGGATAATCGGAACAAGTTAGAAAAAAAGGCTAGAGCTATTAAAAATCGTGTCCTCAAAGAACTAAGGAATCCTTTATATCTGCCGAGCTTCTCAATAGGTTTCTGAACAAGATTTTAATCTCCTCGGCAGACAACAAGATAGTATTTTTCTTGACTTTGTCAACTACAGTAATATTAATAGTATTATTATAATTGTAAAATTTTGGCTCTAACCTTAACTACCGCAGCTTTAAATATCGTTTTCTCTATATCACAAAATCTGATGAAGCTTTAATAAAAGTGATTGATAAACGTTTCCTATTTGTTCTTTATCGTATCACAGCGTATAATAAAACTATATTATTATACATTAAATTTCACCCAATTACAAATATAACGAATAAAACGTTAATAATGTATCGAAGAAATAGTATATCTTATAAATAATATAAAGAATAAAATCTTTATAATATAACGAATAAATAATAAAAAAATAAATAAATTATTAAGAATATAATAAATATTATAACGAATAAACATTCGACGATTTAAATTTCAAGCGTCACTTCGATCGATTGTGTTGGTGTGCAAGAGATAATCTAGGGATTGGCTGGTAAGATTTGCTGAAAGTATAACAGCTTATGTGTGTATAGCAGCCAAAAGGAGCATGCATGACCGAATAGAAATTCATATGATAATAATAATAATATGTAGAAGTTATTTATGCACATTTTGTAACGTTACACCCAAATATAACAACCAGTCAAAAATAATCTTACAAGAGAACAAGAAATCCATATGCCAGACCTTCTTTGGACAGCATAGGCTAGCAGCAATAAGACGTGGCATCTTGAACAAGCAAAGGCATAATAACAATGAAATTGCTTAAATTAAACGCCCAATAGAGAATGAGTTCGTAGCTAACCAACCGAATGTATTCTCAAATCAATCTACATCTGCTGCTCATGAAGTAACTAATGAACTTCTAACTGACAAACTTGAAGTTTCTGTGAACTCTCTGGCAAGATGATATCACACATACTACTACTGCTACTACTAGTAGTAGTAGTAATAATATCGATATATTTCAACTTTGATGCCAGTAATATTTGCAAAAAAATATATTATTTTGCTTGACGTCTTTGGAATGAAATATCTTATCGATAATATCCTTTGCGATGTCAAGAAAACAGGAGAGAAATGTTGAAAACGACCCTACAGCTCACAATTGATTTAGATGTATTTTATATTCATAGACTTGGCGAACATGGTCAACAAATATAGCGTATCTATATCTATGATTCTCAAAATGTGTGTGCGTCTGTGTGTGTGTGTGTGTGTGTGTGTGTGTGTGTGTGTGTGTGTGTGTGTGATCGCATGTTCTTTATGTGTTTCCACAGTTCTCATCCAATTTCGATGTTTTTTTTTTATAGATAATTCTTCAGTACCGGTTTTGAGTCCAAAATGGCTGGAACAAATTACAACCCTGAAGATTAAAATTCGGAAAAAAAACTAATTTTTTACACTTTGCGCAAAAATCAAAGACAAAATTTAATGTCTGTAAAAAAACAGCGTATAATCAATCAATTTACAGATTTGAAATCTAACGCAAAAAATTATTAGAATTATAAAAAAAACAAACTATATTATAAATGAAAATGATCGTATATTATTATTATGACGGTCTATGGAAGAGGTTCGTTTCTTGCAAGATTGAGAACTCAAAAACGGCCCTTTTCAGGGTCACACCCCCATTCAAATTGTTAACTCCCTATTCGGGGATGTGCTTCAGTTGCACCCAAATGTTGTTACTAATATTGGTTTTCAGGTGGGCTGACTTTAAACTTAAACTGCTCCAACTGAATGGCAAAAATTCCCAGTAATGAAAGACCTGGTCGAAGGCAGGTTATACTGCTAGTAAAACATATGGTTTATAAAAATGGGAACCTCAGCGTGGTGCAATGATCAGCAAACTTGTCTCGCTAGATCAGTTACGACTGAAAAGTGAGTTTGATACTCACTAGGTGCTCCATACTTTCGGCCTTGTGCCACATCTAAGCTACGCTTAGAAAATAACCATATAGTTTATAAAAAAGTTAATAATACAACGAAAAATATTATAGTTTATAAGATATTGATAATATAACGAAAACATCGCATAGTTTATAAAAGTTATTAATATAACGAATGAATCATAGTTTCTAAAATATTGATAATACAACTAATAAATCATATAGTTTATAATATGTTCATAATATAACGAATAAATAATATGATCAATAAATAATAAAATGTTAATATAGCGAATAAATAATACGTGAAAAATATTACAATCACGAATAGTATAACAAAGTATTAACAATATAAGGATGAGTTATATAACGAATTTAAACAATAATGGCTAAAACGTTAATAGTACAGGGTGCGGCAGAAATACCTCCCACATATACCCCTAGTAACAACTTCCGCATAATGGTAAGACATTAGGGTTAAAGGTGTTTTCATCTCGCTAATGTTTCAACATGATAGGAGGGGGGCATTTCTGGGAGGTATGTGGAAGGTATTTCAGCTGTACCCTGTATAACGAAACAATTATATAACGAATAATATATTAATAATGTAAGGAATAAATAATATAACAAAGATATAATAATTTGAATAAAAGACTAGTAATATAAAGAAATAAATAATATATCGAATATAATATTATTTAACGAACAAATAGCATCAAATTAAATGCTAATATTATAATGAATAAATAATGTAACGAGTAAATAATATAACAAATACAATTGTAATAATATAACGAAAACAACTAATGTATTTTCGTCTCCGAGTCTTTGTTGGAGGAGAATTATTTTCTACCTCTCTCTCTCTCTCTCTCTCTCTCTCTCTCTCTCTCTCACACACACACACACACACACAGAGGCTCTATCGCTGCTATTATGGAAAGTGCTCGGACGAACTGCATTTCTTGTTTTCACTAGGTCTAACCTTTACGGCTAGGACCCGCCATACCACTTACATATTGATATGGCGGGTCCACCACCACCCACATTCCCTCTGTATGCCATCGGCGAGAAATAACTTCCACTCAAACCACTGCCCTGTGGAACAGACTCCCAAGAGGATGTTTCCCCGATCACAACAATCTTAACCTGTTCAAGTCTAGAGTTAACCGTTACCTTCCCCTCCTATCCTTATAAATTACACCTTAATGTAACCCTCTACCTCGTGTAGGACCCGGGCCTTGTTCAGGGCGAACCTTACTGTAAAAAAATGAATAAAAAACTAATAAAATGTTAATAATATAAAGAATAAGCAACTTAACGCACAAAATAATAATAATGTAAGAAATAAATGACTAATAAATAATATAAAGCGTAAAATAATAATAAGAAATATAAAGAATAAAATATTAACAATAAGATGGATTAATAATATAACGAATAAAGCATAAGGAATAAATGACTAATAAATAGTATAAATAAAATACATAATAAATAATAAATAAATAATAAATAGGGAATAAAATAATAATATATAGCGAATAAATATTAATACTATAGAGAATAAATGACTAATAAATAGTATAACAAATACATAATATAGCAAATAAATAATATTGGGAATGAAATAATAATATAGCGAATAAATATTAATACTATAGAGAATAAATGACTAATAAATAGTATAACAAATACATAATATAGCAAATAAATAATATTGGGAATGAAATAATAATATAGCGAATAAATATTAATACTATAGAGAATAAATGACTAATAAATAGTATAACAAATACATAATATAGCAAATAAATAATATTGGGAATGAAATAATAATAAATATTAATACGAATAAATATTAATACTATAGAGAATAAATGACTAATAAATAGTATAACAAATACATAATATAGCAAATAAATAATATTGGGAATGAAATAATAATATAGCGAATAAATATTAATACTATAGAGAATAAATGACTAATAAATAGTATAACAAATACATAATATAGCAAATAAATAATATTGGGAATGAAATAATAATATAGCGAATAAATATTAATACTATAGAGAATAAATGACTAATAAATAGTATAACAAATACATAATATAGCAAATAAATAATATTGGGAATGAAATAATAATATAGCGAATAAATATTAATAATATAGAGAATAAATGACTAATAAATAGTATAACAAATACATAATATAGCAAATAAATAATATTGGGAATGAAATAATAATATAGCGAATAAATATTAATACTATAGAGAATAAATGACTAATAAATAATATAACGAACAAATACAGAGTGTTCCAAAAGTCTTGGGCACATTTTGACATTGAATATCTCGAAAACTATTAAAGATATTGTTAAGGGGTTCACCATTTTTCATACAAGTGGACTCGCCCAGTGTGTACTTGTACTGCTGCCGGTGAATACCCGGGAGTGAGAGTGTGAGGTAACCGCTTTGTAGGAGTCACAGTTGCGAGCACGTAGACTCAGAAGGAAGTCATACTTCGATACTGAATTTCCCAGACTGTATATATATTATTACTGCTACTAACCGCATTTCTGGATCTACTAACCGTATTACCAATTGTATTATTACGTCAATACATTTATTTGCTATATTTCATTCCTGCGTTTGTCATTCATTTGAGACCGGATTTCATCCCGGAATCCACAACAGATATAAAAACACGCCTGACATATTCTGAAAGAATTTAATCTCAAGTTTTACATGAAATGTTCAAAGAAGTTCAACGTGAGCACCGTTAGTCACACGGCACACATCAAATCCGTCATCTTCCAACTTCTCTTGCATTGCATACAAAAGTCACGACGAGCTGGTTTATCAGTGTCCTGCAACTGTTGGGTTAACTGTAGCTTGTAAGGTGTCATTTGCAGTCGTCTTTTTAAGTAGCGTCACAACTCAGACCCGATACCAGGTTCGTTCGCAGGGTGCAACTTCTTTTAGTCGAATGACTGTGGCTTATTAAAAATAAAATAATTCTTTGGTCGGATTGTTATCCAAGAAAAAGAAAACACAAAAAGAAAATGTAGCAGTCGGCAAATTTTATTCCATTGTAACCATCTAGTAAGGTCGGCTGTAGGCGAGCGATAAAAGCTTAGGCGAGGTGAGGGCCGAACGGTCTAAGAGGCGTAACGCCTTTCTTTTCACGTGGCGGGCAGGTAATTCTTTGATTTAGGCTGCCAGGGACCATTGTCTTACAGAGAACAGTCCTTTGTCCTGTCAACTTTTGTCTAGAAAAAGTAATTAATCAAGAACTCAGGGACTCGCTCCACAGCTGACCTTTTTTTGTGGGTCGGTTAACAGTCTTCTTGGAAGGATCACTTTCCTAAACTGACCTTCTTTGTCCAGACGATACATGCTAAAACGATTTCTGTAACATCCTGCAGATGTGCCCTTAACAAGATATTAGCTGGCAACTGATATCGATACAAATCCTATTACTTTTATTCTCCTTTCTCCTCAGTGGCGTTTTCTCCGTTTCTTTCATTCCCAGTAACCATTTGCATCTTTGTGGCTTTATCGCCTTGCTTGGGATGTAATGATTTCAAAATTACCAATTCCAGCACAAATAGTATTAACTGTAAATCGTTCTCGATCCAATGCCAAAAATGATGGATTTTTATTCTGTATAACACTCTACAAAATAACCCAGTATGTCATGATTTCTTGGTCCGTATATTATTTTGGATTTTTGCTTGCATCTGTGCTACATAACGATTTCTGTTGGCACAGGGTTTTTTTCAATTCTTCCCGATCAGGAAGATATTTGACT